ACTTCGCGCTCCGTCGTAAGGCCTCCTGCCCAAAATTGAATTCGCAGCTTAACCCGCCAGCTGCTGATTGTTTCTTCCTTGTCTTCTTCCAGTAGCTCAATTTCCGTCCTCCACGTTCTTGTTCTCATCTCCCGAAACTCGCACCGACCCACCTAATCCCGCCAGCTGGGTGTTTCTTTTTTCTTAGCATTTACCATCTCCTCTCGGGCTTCAACGGCGAGAACCAAAGGTGGAGCACTCCAATAGAAACCCTCTTCTCTTCCGAAATTTCCAATTCGGTGGAAGTAGCAGCTTAAACGGATCGGCATACGTACCAGCGATAGTAGTTGCCGCATCGAACGCGATAGACGGCGTTTACCTGCAAGTTTATCGACGACTTCTGCGTTTTTGGAACCGGGTAGCTTCTTGGCTGCAGCAGCTTCTGTTGGGAATGAATAGCTTTGAAAGCTATATTGAATTAATTATCCAGTATTCTTTCTAGATACAAAAATAAGAAGGTAATTAATAACAAGAATATTATGGAGATAATTAGTATAAATTATCTTAATATAATATATCTTAATTATGGGAGTAATTATCTTCCTAATTAAAATATGACTTATTCCAAAGAAAGAGGGAATATTCTGGGTTTTCTGCTCCTATAATAGGAGACGCCCCAGGCTCTCAAACACACCTCAGAGAGCAGAAACACGAGATAGAGAGTGAGTTCATAGAGCTCCGTTTTTCGCACAAATCCGATGAGCAATAAATTTAGAGTGGCTGTTTTATCCTGGAGGCGACCGGCTGATAGTCTGCCGTGCGCAACGAAGGCAGTGCCGCGAACGTCTTAAAGAGAGCGACCTAGTCCGCGACTCAGCCAGATCGGTAACCCTGATTTTTCCTGTTCGATTTCTAACAATTTTAAGACGCTCGGTTGCTGTCGTCTATCGAACAGGTTGATTATCGCATCTGGTTCCAACGGTCGTAAGTACTTGGGATATGGTATCGCAACAAATCAGTAAGACTTCTGAGGGTATTAACTTCGGCGAACGACGATATTATTATTGTTGTATTTATTCTGTTGATCGGAGGAGTAAAGAAGCAGCGTCGGCACCATTGTCGTCGCACAGCTGCTCAAGCATCACTGTGAAGGGCTTACTTGAACCAGAGACGTGAGAATTGGGCGATGAAATTAAAACGAATAATGAAGCCGTGGTTTCTTCGATCTCGCCGGCAAGAAGGAAGAACGATGACCTGTTAGCGGGCCGGATTGCTGCTGCGGAATTGATGCATGTATATGTCGACATTGAGGTATATTACCTCGATGATTAGAGTATAATGAATACATGTTGTGGAATAGAATGGTTTTGTTTGAATGCGTGCATATATGTGAAGAATATATGGGAATAGAATGGGTTTATTTCCCATAATAACGATATTATAAGAAGTACTATTATCAGTACTACACGAACCACTTTAGGTTGCTGTGAAACATTAAAGTTTCAAGAATGAGAGCAGCAAGCTGAACCAGATCCACACCAAATAGAATGGTACCCCTCGTGGTAACCATAAGATTGCCACTCAATCCTCTAAGAATGACGCTATGTTTCTCAATTAAATTTGAGATAAACTAGGTCATATGACACGAAAGTGTTAGAACAAGTTTAACATAGTATTGCGTTAACTTGATTAAATAAGAGGATTTGGTAATAATAATCGCTTAGGTGATGATAGAGGTTAGCCTTAATGGTAACTCTGAAGAATGGTTGTTGGAAACTGCCGCCTCAAGGCATGTGTGTGATAAACGAGCTAAGCTCAATCATACATAATTGAGGCGTATTGAAGGAGAAAATGTTGTTGGGCAAGACCCTCACCACTATTGATGTTGGTTATGGGAAAGTGGAAAAGAACCATACCTCTAGAAAGTCATTGACTATCTAGATGTAAGGAATGACTAAGTAGATAAGATTAATTCTTCCAAGTGTGTTTGTGTGAAGAATTAAAATATCTTATATCGCATTCCCATATTATTATTGGATGCTTGAGAAAAAATGAATTTTCTATATCCAAGCTAAATGACCCATAATATGTGATTAGAGAATCAGAATAAATAGATCTGATTTATTTTGATATGGGTAAACTTGATGGAAAAGACAATAAATGATTTATTGCTCTTTAGAGTGCTCTGGTTGTCTAACTAGTTATTAGAAATAGTTTGAAATGCCTAGTTGCATTATGATTGCACTGATTATTCGATATGTGGCATGCATGTGGTAGCATTAGAGAATCAGTGACATGATAACTAGAAAGCATATGAGTGTGTAAGTTATTGTAACACATAAGCCTATGAAATGAAATACTCATTAGTTTGTGAAAACCATTGATGCCAATAGAATCCATTTATATTAAGAAATAGTGGGGGTGATATCCTGCCTACTATTAGAGATAATGGATACTAGTGGGGTGATGAATCTGAGTATGAACTCAGAAGAGACAAATGAACCATAAATCACGAAAGGATTTTGGTTATGAATTTGTTATTTACACCCTAAGAAAGAAAGATCCTACAAGTCTGCTAGAAGTTCGAACTTCCATAAAGATGCAGAATTGTGGGAAATCCATTATTAACGAAATGGAATTATTGGAGTCTAATAAGACTTAAATCTTGTAGAGTTACCTCTTGGTTGAAAAGCCTTGGGTAATATATCGATAGAATCGAACAAGATTTGGCATCTTTGAGAATTACCTCTTGACAATGAAGTCATGGGTAATAAATGGATTCTTAAAAGAAAAAGTGAAACCTATTGGTTTAGTTTATGAGTATAAGGATCGCCTAATAGCTAATGCTTTAAGCGAAAAGGAAAAATTGTAAATTTTCTTGTTATCTATTCACCATATGTAGAATAACATCCAGGTATGTTCTGATTGCTAGTGTTGTGCGTCAGATGGATTGTTAAACATGTTTCTGTGAATGGTGATTTAGATAGGAAAATCTACATGGGACAACCTATAGGGTTGTTATTCCTGAACATGCTTAAGGAGTCTATAGTTAGACAATCATTGTAAGATTTGAAATAGACTCTAAGACGATGACATGAATAAACTGGTTCTCTCTCATGGTTTTAAAAGTCAAAGTGACAAGTGCATTTAGTACAAATTTGAGAATGACACTTGCATTATGAATGACACGTCGATCTTTGGTACAAAGTCTCGTGATGTCAATATTGAAAACCATGATGGTTGAGAATTTTGAATGTAAAAAGATCTGGATGAAGCAAGTGTTATGCTCGGAGATCTAGATTACTAGGACAATGAAAGAGATTTCATCTAGATCAGTTTAACTAAACAGTTAGATCTAGAGGAAATACGAGTTCTACACCTGCATAAATGTTTGATGGTGCTAGTATAATTTTTAAGAGCACCAAAGACGGTGTAAGAAAGTAAGAACATACTAGCATCGACAGTCTGCGAGAGGCAGCTGATAAACATGAGACCCGACATAGTGGGGGTGCTTGGCAGGCTTACTGATTGTCCTAGTATGAAGCATTGAAATGCTATTGAAAGGGGTCATGAGACACCTTAAAAGAACAGAAAAACCTTGGTATTTGTTATCAAAGGTTTTGCTGTATTGGTAGGGTATAGTGATGCGGATTAGAATACCCTATAGAGGACTCCAAGACAACAAGAGGATGTGTTTTAAACATCGATAGAGAAGTTGTGTCTTGGAAGTCTAAGAAAAGGAAGTAAACGATCTTGGCTCAATCAC